TTTTTAAAGGTAAACCTTCAAAACATCGTTCGAGGAGCACAAGCACTTTTTCCACCGTCACGAGCTGTTCTTCAAAGTTACTACGATCTAGGCTATAAAGATGCTTTACGATTTCTCATAAAAAATGAAATTGTGGAGCGTCCTCAAGGTACAGAAGTATGATGGCCCAGCGTTTTTGTGATACCTTAACTGCCAGCTTCTTGCATCTTTCTCAGGCGCTGTAGCCTTTTTTCTGTATTAATTCTAGATGCTATATTACCTTTCATATGGCACACTTCTAAAAAAATGTGGATTTGTACTTATTAACATTATTATGATTCGGGTCAAGCTCAATCCTCATTGTGTGTGATTGCTAATTTTGCGCATATATATACTAGGAAATAGTAAGCATTCTAGTCATAATTTCTGCATCATAACTAGAATAATTGATTTTTCTGTATCTTTCTGAAGATACACTGCGTATACATGAAGATAAATATTCTTTATTCAAAAACACAATTTCACAACTACTCAGAAATGCACCGCATATAAACACATCGGGGAATTTAACACAATAAGAATAGTCGCCTCAATCTCTAACAAACAATCGCAAAAAATAACGACATAAATTATGCAACAATTACCGGATAGGATTCTAAACAATCAATACAACATGAGACTAACATCATTTTGGGCCCGACTGTAGTGTATTTACGGAGAAACGGCAGAAAGTAACAAGTTATGAGCGCAAAGATCAAAGTTCGCTCTTCTTGCCGGTAGCCTTCGATTTGTAATAATTGAACGTATGCGTCAATGCCAAACTTAACTGGTTAAAGGATTCGTGGCCATATGTATAGATCAAACGCGCCAACGAGAATGGTTCGCCGTTTGCGAGGGCACCAGTTGCAGCCCACAAACCGGATACAGGCGTCATACCACGACCTGAACATTTGCCGATAAAGATGAGATAGACAAAACGAGAAAGTAAATGCCTATGTGCCTTGTATCAAAGATCATTATTAGTAAAAATGCGAAGCATTCACAATGTCGGCGACAAAAAATTCAAACCGCTACATGCAGAACTCAAAATTGATTACTTATAGAAACCACAACACTATCCCAGAAATCCGTTTCATAATTATTCACAAAAGCTCTTCTACTTCCCCAACTCGTATTCGTAAGTTACTCATGATAAACTTTGGGCGAATCAAAGTTGAATTTAAGCAATAGGGTTCAAGCTGTTAAGGATAAATTCCCTATAATAAATAGCTAAGTTCATATGATAAAGATAGGAAGGAGCTTTTCAAAGTAAAGATATGCTCCTGCTCCTCATACCTTCAAAAGAACCAAACAAACAGGAGTATAATGCAATCATACATTACATTGCAAAGCTATGTCAAACTCTTAAACATATAAGTGACCTTTGACTCAAAGAAATAAACTGACCATAACAGACGACATAGGTGTCAGCGCCGAATGAATAAATGTACGATTCGAACTGCCCATGACGGAA